ACTGCTCTCTGGAAACCCATTTCCACCTGTAAAACGTGAATCGTAGGAGTACCCTCTCGCGGATCTCACAGCACAGTGCCGCGGCCTTTCCTGAGATAGAACGTTTCCAAAGATGAAAGCGTCTCACCCAGATTATTTTCAATACTTGCAGGAAAGAGTCCTAAGTCCTTGCATGTTCCCCTTGCCGATTGCTAAAGTTGAAAATGTTGCAAAACCCAGGCCTCAGTGCATTTTTAAAATGTTTCAAGTTGTCACACCCATCAACGTCTTGGAGGCAGTCTTCTAATGGCTTGCTGTCAACACTGTTTTGAGTCCATCTTACATACAGCAAGCAATCGCTTCCCTTCTGCGTAAACAGTCAAGAGCCAGTGTTACAGGACTTCAAAGTTTTGGAAATGTTCTCAGTTGTCTCTAAGGGCTCTGAAAAAAGTCACTGATCAAAAAAAAGAGCTACTTGAGTGCCTGGATACCGAGACATTGCTTCCGAATAAGAATTTCAGGAAAACCGTAGGACTTCTGATCCTCAAAGCTCCCGACTTCCTCTACGTGCCTTTCAGTACCCTCTCATCCTCGGTTAGCACACAAGCATGAGTGTTCTTTTTCCTTTTTGTCTCCCAGGGCCAACCGTGAACGGGGAAACAAGGCTCACGCTTCAACAAATAGACGAGGCTCCTGACTGCCTCCTGCACCGAGCACGCAGGCTGCGCACATGCAGCTGGACAAGGCCAAAGTCTAGGCTTGAGAAACTCAGCTGTAGGAGGGAAAAGTGGTCCAAGAACCAAAATGACCAGATTCTTGATGTTACAATGAAGTGTGTGTGCGCGTATTTTTTTTAATTATTAAAAGTACTCACAGTTCAGATGGCACTTATGAAGAAGTCACCAGAAACCCAAAGTGGGAAGCGACTGAAGCTGTAGCCGACAGTCAATTTAAGCGTGTGCTGAGCAGCCAGATCTGCCGTCACTCCGATGCTGCACCGCTTCACCCTGTCCTGGGGGCCAACATCCTTCCTAGCTACCACCCCGTTTCTCTTTATCTCACACCCAAGCTGCCGCGTCTCCACTCCTGACGCAGACTCTGCCTCCCCCTTGTGAGCATCACCAGTGACCTGCAAACCACACCTCAGAGATGTCAGGTTGTGGAAGGGAAGGCAACACGGAGGGGCTGTGTCAGACTTAAGACTAGACAGACACAGCCATCAAGTGGGCTGGAAGCTTGCGCTATAGATATTATCGGGACAACTGGCAAACCTCATTGGGCTTCTGGGTGAAGGGATAGTGGGAGTTCTCGGCCATTCTTACAACAACTACTTATCCTATATAATAAAGCGGTATTATGCAAATTAACCCACACGTCCTCACAAGATAGCTGCCTACGACCAGGCCGGCAGGGGGGTTAGTGAGGAACAACAAACGACTGAACAAGCAGGCTGCGTGGGGTGACCAGGCCAGTGGGTGTCCATGAGGGGCAACCAGTTAGGTGGGGGGGTGCAGGTGACCAGGCCCGGGGGGGGGGCAGTTAGGAGCAATCAGCCGGACATCCCCTGAGGGGTCCTGGACTGGAGAGGATGCAGGCTGGGCTGAGGGGATACCCCCCCGCCCCATGCCTCTAGTCTATAAGGTGTAACATGCTAATTAGACCAGACTTCTAGGTGACCTTCCGGGGCTGTGAGGGCCAAGCCCCTTACACGAATGCCGTACATCAGGCCTCTAGTTCGGAAAATAAAGCCAGAGTGGGAGCTGTCAGAGACTCGGGCTTCATGAGGAAGCACCCAAGTGGAACCTTTTTCCAAGACATGAGCTACTCCATAGGCCATTTCAGTGAAGGTCTGACTTGGACAGTAGGAAAAGCACTTTGTGTACAATGTTTTTCTTACCGAGGTTATAGTATCCAACTGCCGAAATGCAGGATAAGGGACTTATGTTCTGGCAGAGAGAATGGAAGTGGCCTAAAGTCATACAGCAGAAAGATAAACTATTTAAAACTCTCCACAGCCTGAGCATGAAATTAGACGATTCCACTTTGGTGGGAAACGGGTCACTTTAACCTAGGACTGAAATGGCTGTAACAGCCAGGGAAGGTCTGAACTTGTGATGGGCTTCTATGAAAGGGGGAGGGGAGCCTTGTGTAACAGAATCTTGTACTCAGATGGACATTGAGATGAACTGTTACACAGTAAATAATTCCGTATTATTTTTTAAATGTTTCATGTTTTTCAAACCCCTTTTCTCACCCGATTATGCCTTTGAGCCATACTACAGAATTGTCAAGGACTGTTTTCTGTTTTTTTTTTCTTGACTGGAGTTGTTTTTTTTAAATATATTTTTATTGATTTCAGAGACCAAGGGAGAGGTAGAGATAGAAATATCAATGATCGGCTGCCTCCTGCATGCCCCCCACTGGGGATCAAGCCCGCAACACAGGCATGTGCCCTTGACCGGAATCGAACCCGGGACCCTTTAGTCCACAGGCCGATACTCTATCCACTGAGCCAAACCGGCCAGGGCATTGACTGGAGTTTGAGTCCATGTGTTTTACAGTCAATCAGGTGGAGCAAAATTAGTCATATGTAGTGTTCCACAGATCTTTCTATCCCTGTGTAAGTTTCCCTCAACAGAAATTTATAAGAGATCTCAACATATAACTAAGCAAAAGCACTAATCAAGATGGGGAAAATAGACACTTTATAAATGAAGATGTACGTTTAAGTTACACAAAGAAGTCCATTATACAGTTAAGTACACCAAGGAATAATCAGACTACACAACACTCACAGGGCAGACAAAAGGAGGCTGTGCACTCCTGTTATTTGCATTTCCCTGGGGTCAGGTAGCAGTCCAGGCCCAAGACGGAAGTGCCAAGGCGAACTCACATTCCAAAAGCAAAAGCTCTCCTGCAGAAAGGCACTCCACTTCATAAAACCCACTCGACAGGTAACCTAGCATTCATGTTCAGGCGTGTGAAACTGGGATGACACACAGGGCACGTTTCTTATTTTTTATTTCAACATTTAAAATATTCACAGATGTAGTAGTATATTCATTGGCATCTCCATGGAAGATGTACCCAACAAAGCATACAGGTATTCCACAGTTACAGAAGTACATGTGTGTGACTGTGTAAAGATTTTACTCCTATAATTTATCTGGAAAACCACCACTAAAAAACAAACAAACAAAAACACACACACAAAAAAACTTTTGAGTGTTTCACTGGATTTCCATAAACAGTGAAGGACTATCAAGAGAAATACCTAAATATTAGCCAGCACTTTTGTACTATTTCAGACTTTCATATACTCTTTCAACATACCCATGTCATCAGGAACACTTAATTCTCAATTATTTTTCTTTTCCCCTCAATAGCCAAGGCCAAGATGTATATATTTATTTTCATAATCTTTTTTCCAAAAATATTATGCAGAATAGGTTGATCATCACCGGATCTTGACTAGCTAATGAGGTAGGAAGAGTCTTCAAAAGAAGTTCTTAAGCATTTATGAAGCAAAACAAAAGAGAATAATCAAATTATACGCAGTTTTTCTTTTTTAGTGGTTGTTCTTTTCATAAAATGCCAAGAGCATTGGAAACTGGTCACATGCTACTTGTATGTAAAAGACAGAGAGTAAAACCCCATGAGAAAGCCCTCTGCTGAGCACATGCCAGGGCCGGTGGTGGTTAAGTCCATGTTGGCATCACACGGCAAGAAACGGCTGCCCCAAAATGCCAAGCTTTCCTTCTGAGTGATCTTACCAAAAAGATAAAGTTTAAACAGAAACAAAAGTACCCTTTCTTTCAGTAGGAGTTAATTTGGCTCTTATTTTAACCCAGCTCTCATCCTTCCCTACACACACACCCAAAAAAAAGATTAATAATTTCTATACAGTGCATATCCAGTAGCATTATTTAAATGAATTTAGCAGTCGACTTACCAAATTCTGCCAGAAAAGCACTCCTTATATGAAGGTTTAACATCGTACACTGAACAGCTGGAAAGTGCCTGGGTACTAACAGATTTCAGCACCATCTCTCTATTAGCAGGTTATTTCAAAATGCACACACCCCTTAAATTCCTGTAAACCTAGGAAATCAACAATTATCCCCTCTCCATCTACACCAAAATCAAAGTTCTGTGTTCTAACTACCCTTTCTGTATATATAAGGAATATTTTTCAAATCTACCCAATCAAGTTAACAGGACATGTTTCCAAAAAAGGGGAAAGTTATCAATCAAGTATGCATTGTCTAAAAGACATTATTTGAACACTTTGGTACCTATTATTTGATGAAGGCTAAAATACCAGAAAAAGAGTTTATTTCCCCAATTACATACTGATTAGGGTTACTGCTAAAAACACTAAAAAAAAATCTAAAAATGTAAAAAAATACTTAGACTAGCTGCCAGATAAATTGATAACTGCATGTGGTTTGGAAGATGGTTTTGAAATCAAGACCTTGACAATTCTATAAAATGTTCTAGACATAGTTAGCAATCGAACTTGGTATGACAGTGCAACTCTGATATGGCAATAACCAATTACTATCTTACTTTAGCTATCAAAAATAATTTGTCAACAAGCATTTTTTACATCTTTAAACCTTTCTTTTGACTATTCTATCTAGAATCGTGTCCTATCTACATGATCAAAATATCATTAGTTTGCAGAGAATTCTCCCGTCGTCACGGCCTTCTTTAACTTCAGTTACAGCTCCCTCACATCCTTTCCCTAAGGCACACCAGGCCCTGCTTATTGCTGCCAAGGCCCTGAAACCTGTATCGCAATCTATGTCTCTGTCATCGGTTCAGTGAAAATCCTATAGAGCACCTGCTAGGTTAACTAAAAGAGCAAATCCTATTTCTGAAGCAAAGGCCAAAAAACACAAGTCTATGCTCTTTCCCTAAAAACCAACCACACTGCCTACCCTAACAGTAAAGCTCACGACATCCCTGGCTGCATATACTCCATATTCAATGTTACAAAATAAAATGTTAGGCCAGTAAACTTTCACAACTTTTATTAAATCCTAGTCTAATTTAACAATATCTGATTCTACAGACATCATCCTACGGTGAACATGTTTAATAAGAGAAAGCAAATCAGACATCTAAGTCATTATTTTCTGCAGACTAAGCAATAAGATAACTACTACACAGAACACTACAGGTCATGACATACACTTACTTGCTCAGAGTTTTCACACAAGCCATATTGTTTATCAAACTATGTCTCCTAATATTTAATACAGTAGAATTAGTGATTGTAGTTCTCATATAATATTTTAGTTACAAGTACCTTATTGAGATAACTAACATTTAGACAGTTTCACTGACTTTCCAGATTAGCAGAATATATTCAAGAAAAAGCAAAAAGTAAAATGAACACTGAACATGACAAGTTATAGAAGAAAAATGAAGTAAAGATAAAAAGGGAAGTGAAGTATCAGTGGGGTTGAAAATCAGTCTAGACATTTGTTTAGAAGAATCAACTATGGATTTCACAGATCAAGTTTATAAATTCAATACAATATAAATCCTTTTGAATGTAAAAGCCGCATTGAAATTAAAAGGTCTATAAACTGTTAACTTTTGGCCTTAAATAGTACCAATTCTTCTGATCAAAGAAGGCCACAACAGTTAAGATTGTATTACTTGATTTTATTTTACACTAGGTGGTGGGCACAAAGCAACCCCCTTAATAAAGTTGACAATTAGCTTCACTCAGAACGTTTTTAATAATGCACATTAAAAAAAAAAAAGTATTCTTACAAATTGTTCTGCAATCCAAATATACAATAGCCTGGAAAACAACATTTAAAAAACAAAGCCAATGTAAAAAGACAGGTTAAAACAACTAGGACAGTACAGGTTGTATGGCTCAGATTTTACAGTTTTCTCACTGCATCGTCAATGTCAGAAATCTGTTCCTTCAGCTGGCTCCATTGCTCAGGGTTTAAGGAAATACCTAAAACAAAGTTTTAAAAATCAAAAGTTGAAAATGTATTTAAGCTTTCCTGAGGGTTTTTAAACTTCCAAATAAAATACTGTTTCATCAAAATTGCTATTTTTGAATGGCACAATGATATAATATTGACAACAAGATATCTTGTTAACTATAAATTCATCATGATTGCCCGGGATGATCGATGTTATATCTAGTTTTACTTCCCACACTGCATCTGCAAGACACATACTAAACTGACAACGAACAATGACTTGAAGCTTAGTTCACAAATGCTTGCAAACGAGCAATTCCAGTGGCCAGGTCGAGGTTTGGTGTGTGACACCCATTCATTTCTACATTCCGTTGGCTCCAACATTTGCTCCCAATTCCCACAGGAGCTCAGGTGAATGACTTGTACGGAGTTCTCCCAGAAGCCTTCATTTCACTTTGGGAAATCCCTGGGATGTGACTTCTTGGAAGGTACAGTCTAGAACAGGGGTGGGCAAACTTTTTGACTCGAGGGCCACAATGGGTTCTTAAACTGGACCGGAGGGCCGGAACAAAAGCATGGATGGAGTGTTTGTGTGAACTAATATAAATTCAAAGTAAACATCATTACATAAAAGGGTACGGTCTTTTTTTTTTTTTAGTTTTATTCATTTCAAACGGGCCGGATCCAGCCCGCGGGCCGTAGTTTGCCCACGGCTGGGCTAGAGACTGGATTCAAATCCCAGCCTCACTGTCACTAACTACATGACTTCAAAACAATTACAAGTAAGTCTGAGCCTAAGTTTTTTGGCTGATTTGAATTATAAGCTTGGCATATTACTGGGCACATGTAAAATTTAAAATGTTAGCTAATGACATGTCTGTCCTATTTAAAGTATGAGCAGGAAGAACTCTGTCCTTTAAACTTCCAATATTCTAATACCTGACCCATACAAATGGAGAAATAAACTAGAATTGAAGAACTGATGGATTTCTCAGGAAACTGCTGGGAGGCCATAAACGGAGAGGAAGGAGAACATATTGGGACAACACCTAGGAAGGGCTTTCCAGCTCATCTTACTGGTTAGTAATCGCTGCAGGAAGAAAAGAACTCTGGCATTGGCCACAATGGAACAGCTGGACTGCCCAATCCCAAAGTGGGCTGAACAAGGGAATGAAATCATAGACATTAAGTTTACTAAACCTAAAAACTACAGGAAGGAAACAAGTCATACCTTACAAGATGACATGCAGGCAGAAGAAAACAGAGGCATTTTTTCATTAGCTTGGCACACAAATGTTCTCTAGCTACTTGGTGAATTAATACACATGCTTGGTGAATTAATACACTGGCTGGTGTGGCTCAGTGGTAGAGCACCAGCCCATGCACCGAAGGCAGGGCTCATGCGGTGGGCAATGAATCAACGTGCCTCTCTCACATCAATGTCTCTCTACCCTTCTCTACTCTCTAAAGATCAATGGGAAAAATAACTCAGGTGAGGATAACTAACTAAAGTATGCTTCGATGATGCTGGATGAAGCCCGAAAGGAAGACAAAAAACCGACTTAAAGGACACCACCCTAAGAATACCCTAAAGGACACACTGTGAACCAGGATTTCCATTCATTTTACAGCCTCCCAGGCCGGGCCTACTCTACTTCAGAATTAATGTAAAAGTAATTTTTAAGTTATATTCAAGTACATTAGCAGCCTTACAATTCCCGCACAATCTAACTTCTTTTTCACCTCAAGGTATCTGCACAATTTCCTCTACTTTGAAAATGATTCCCTCTCCCATATAATTCACATGACTAGCTCTTCCTTTATCTAAAGTGTCAAATGACACTTCCTTAGGAGATTCCCAGAGCACTTCTCCTCTCATAATAATCTGCCCTTTTACTTCTCAGCCCTTATCATTTTAATTATATGTATGTTTATCTGCATAATTTTTTTAATATATATTTTTTATTTATTTCAGAGAGGAAAGGAGAGGGAGAGAGAGACAGAAACATCAATGATGAGAGAGAATCATTGATTGGCTGCCTCCTGCAGACCCCCAATGAGGATCGAGCCTACAACCCAGGCACATGCCCTGACCGGGAATCAAACAGAGACCTCCTGGTTCACAGGTCAACGCTCAACCACTGAGCCACGCTGGCTGGGCTCTGCCATAATTTTATCCTCATTAAAGTTAAGTGTTGCCCTGGCAGGGTAGCTCGGTCGGAGTATTGTCCCATACATCAAAAAAAAAAAAAAAAAGGTTGCAGGTTCGATCCCTGGTCTGGGTATGTTCAGGAAGCAACCGATCAATGTTTCTCTCACATCAATGTCCGTCCTTCCTTCCTTCCTTCCTTCCTCCCTCCCTCCCTCTCTCTCTCTAGGATTCACAGAAACATATCCTCAGATGAGGATTAAAAAATAAGAAGTGTCATTACCAAAAAGACTACAGAAGATAGTGAACCAACCAAATGAGGATCTTCCTAGTGCACTGACAACATTATTTCATTTCAAACTAGGTCACTTAATTTTTAATTTAGTCCCAATATTAGGACCAAATTCAGGAAATCAAGTCTCACCTTTTCTTCCTGGTTTCATTTCACCTTCTTGATCCATCCAATATTCTCTAATATCAATTAGGACTTTTCCTTTAAAGTCCCGTACGCTGACGTACCTCATTTTCCCAATCTGCAAAAGAAACAGAACATAAAAAAGTATTTATTTATAAGTCCATATTTACATTCACAACTTACTGCATACTCACTACTCTTTTCATCACAAAAATAACTACTACTATCAATATCAAAACTACAATCCAAAGGAAATGTCACTATTAAAAAAAAAATCTTTGTAAATGATGGAACTAAACAAGCACAACTCACATTTCTAATCATTTTACATTAAAAGAATCATTAGCAAAATAGTGCAACCGCTACGGAAAACAGTATGGAGGTTCCTCAAAAAATAGAACCTATGACCCAGCAGCCACTTCTGGATATGTACCTACAAGAAATAAAAGCAGGATCCTTAAGAGGTATTATCTGTACACCCATATTCATAGCAACATTACTTACAATAATGTTTGGGATAGGGCAACCCAATGTCCATCTTCTGATAAATGAATAAACAAAATGTGATATATACAAGCAACGGAATATTATTCAGCTTAAAAAGAAAGAAATACGTTCACATGCTGCAACATGGATGAGCCTGAGGCCATTATGGTAAGTGAATTAACAAGTCACCAAAAGATATAGATTGTATGATTCCACTTATAAGATGCCTAGAACAGTCAGATTCCTCTCTGAAATTAATAAATATATATGTATTTTTAAGTGTAAGTATCTTAGGCGGCTATGGCACTGAACTAAACATTTTCATTTTGGTTTTACAATAAGCCTAAGAGCATGTTGAATAGATACAATTAAATCTATGGAAAATCTACTAAAATAATTTTGATTATTAGATAAGTCAAATAAAAGTTCAATTGTGGGCTTGAGCAAGTGGAAGAAACTTTAGGTGATAGGATTTGACCTTGAAAAGTGATCAGCCATTAAATAAGTAAAAAGGAGAAAAAAGTGACAAAGACATAGAAGGGAGAAAGCAGAAAGATACAATACTGATTTTCAAGGGCAGGCTGACCACATTGACCTATACTGCAGAGGACTTGAAAACACAGGAAGAAAACTCTGAAGCCTGTATAGGTTCTTAGAGCAAGGACAAAAAAATAAAATAAACAATCAGAAAAATACTACTACTACTGCTTGTCTTCTGCAAGACTCGTCTTCCTGAGATATCAGAAACCTGCAAAGAATTTAAACTCTCACTAGAAAAAGTAAACGTATTTTAAAAGAGACAAGCAATGATCACAAGTAATTGAAGAGGTAGAAAACTGTTGTCGATTTGCAGTTTAGCCAGTGACAGCGTTCCCGAGGTGGTGAAGTGTGGAAAAGTGGAGATGCTGCCAGCTGACCTCCTGTAAGGCACCTGGGACAAGTGCTGAAAGGGCTCCTTTAAGGCTGGGGGTGGGGGTGAGGGGGCTGTCGATACATTAAGAAAGGAAGTGTTTGTTTATAAACTAACCAGCACATTAGCCATGTACTGTACATGAGAAAGGCTAAAGCCCTAACCGGTTTGGCTCAGTGGATAGAGCGTCGGCCTGCGGACTCAAGGGTCCCAGGTTCTATTCCGGTCAAGGGCATGTACCTTGGTTGCAGGCACATCCCCAGTAGGAGGTGTGCAGGAAGCAGCTGATTGATGTTTCTCATCGATGTATCTAACTCTCTATCTCTCTCCCCTCCTCTCTGTAAAAAATCAATAAAATATATTTAAAAAATGCTAAAACAGGGATTCATTTGGGGTCTGGAACAAATTAATTCAATTTACATTCATTCTAATGAGAAAAAATGATTTGGTTTTCGAACAAATTGGGTCTCGAACAGCCTTCTGAAACAAGTTAAGTTAGAGAACCGAGGTTCCACTGTACTTTCTAATGTGCAGCTCTCAATCTCTTCTTTTGGATTTCTATAGCTTTTAAATTCACATTGTTTTAAATACAGCAAAACTACAGACTTCTAGGTGTTAGCAATAATCTAGCACCGTATAGGGAGCATTTGAGGTATTGCTCCCAGGCATGCTGTCAATTTTGGCTCAAATTAAACTCGTTAAAAAATTTTTTCAGCATCATATAAATTACTTTCATTTCTACTAACTTGTTCTTGTATTTCAATGAATATCCTTAGTCAAGAGCACTCTAATGTAAAGATTGTGCCTTATTAGATTAAGGCGCTCTGATCGTTCTTCAGGTCCAGCCAGAGAGTAAGTCCTCTGGACCCAATAACCAACCTTACCTGGAACATGTTGTCATCCCTGCTGCTGCTGCTCTGTTTAGAAGATGACAGGGCTCTTGAAGTCTCACCGGTCTTTTGCTTCTTTACAGGCTTTTCTGAAGCAACTTGCTTTTTCCTCTTTAACTTGAAAGAAAAATATGAATATGGTTAAAATTTGCACACTTAATAAAACACTTCTCAGGTTTATGGACACACAAAAAGGGGGGGGGGGTATGTACAAGTTCAGTGACCAACAGGAACCTCACAGGACGATCTGACCATAGATCCCTACCTGGGCAGGTCAATGCCTGTACCTTTTAGTACAAGATGCATCTTTGCATGAAGCCCTGTCCACTGTTTCTGAGCACCTGGGTGCACACACCTTTGAAAGGCCTAGTTTTCAGACGCCTGGGAACTTCAGCACCTGCAGGAGAACACGGTCTTGCTAACTGCCCTGTAAGCCAATCCCAGCCTCGCTTTCCACGTAATCTTCCTTGTTTCCTTCGTAATTCCAAATGTACAAGAGAAAGTGCAAAAGTGTCCTTCTCCAGAGCATTAGGTCTTGCTTCCCAACAATGTCATCAGTTTGGCTTAATTAACTCTTATAAAAATTCACTACAAGTTTAGACATTTCTTACTTGGACAGGTTCAAGATTCCAATATTTTTTAATACTTAAAGGATCAAAAGTCTGCATTTACTCATTAAATAAAAAATATAAACTAGCCAAGATCCACCTGACAATGAAACTTTGAAACTAACCTAACACTGGTATATAACAGTATTTGCAAACAGTTCTGAGGAGCCCAAAAAATACTTTAGGCATTAGAGTGATATTAAGCAGAAAAATTTATTTTGTAGATCAGAATCCCACGTAAGGTTTCTTTGGGAGGAACAACAAAAAAAGATGAGGGGCCTAATGTTTTTGAATAAACTTTTGGGAACCACAAGTCTACTAAAGCTACAAAGGGGACATGCTAACTAGGAAGAATGCAACCAACTTGTTCCATTTCTAGGATATGATTATCTATTTATGCTCTGCCTATTCCAAGAGACACACTGGCTTAGGGAATCTGAGTAGGCAAAACTAAGAAATCTATTTTGTACTGCGCACAAGTCAACTCTAAAACGTCCTCATCACAAAAAAAAAACAACTAAAGATAGACAGCAATGTATTAGACTAGCATTCAAAAGCAAAACAATGTTTTAAAAGCAGCATCATTGCAAAAGCTTTTTATACAATCTGTCTCAAAATGAGGTAACAGCCCATGAAAACCAGTAGAGTTCCCAACCCAAACAGTAGAGGGCAATCATGTTCCTTAGTGGAAAGCCTAACCTAGTATGGGGTGGGCAAAAGTAGACTTACAGTTGTAATAATGAATAATGCAACTAACAAATAATAGCGCAATAAACTGTTTCATGTATTCACAACTGGAAACCTACTTATGTCCACCCCTGTATATTTATTTACTAATTTAGATGAAGCTAGACATAACATAATGTATACAAACCAAAAGAAATGGATGTATTTAACATATGTCCTTAGGATTAATAGTACTATTTGGGCCCTAACCAGTTTGGCTCAGCGGATAGAGAGTAGGCCTGCGGACTGAAGGGTCCCAGGTTCGATTCCGTCAAGGGCATGTACCTGGGTTGCGGGCACATCCCCAGTAGGGGGCGTGCAAGAGGCAGCTGAATCGATGTTTCTCTCTCATCGATGTTTCTAACTCTGTATCCCTCTCCCTTCCTCTCTGTAAAAAATCATTAAAATATATTTTTTTAAAAAATAGTACTATTTGGGACAATCAGCAAAAATTAACTCTGCTCAAGAAGCAAAAGCAGCCCTGACCAGTTTGGCTCAGTGGATGGAGTGTTGGCCTGCAGACCCAGGTTCGGTCCCGGTCAAGGGCATGTACCTTGGTTGCGGGCACAAACCCAGTGGGCTGTGTGCAGGAGGCAGCTGATCAATGTTTCTAACTCTCTATCCCTCTCCCTTCCTCTCTGTAAAAAAATCAATAAAATATATTTTTTTTAAAAAGAAGCAAAAGCAATTATTCTTTATATCAGGGTCTGTATAGATAGTCCCTGTGGACTGGTACATGCCCGACACACAAAAGCTCAATAAAAATACGTTGAATGAACGTATTCAAATGCCCTGCTGGTGTAATAGAGAATTTCCCCACTACAGTACATATGTTCTCTGAAGCCTGTGTCACTCTTCCAGATGGTATCATGTTCTGTATTTCCCTATGAAGATCCATCTCCCCCAAACTCCCCCTTAAGCTCTCTTAACTGCCACTGCCACCTAGGCTCGGAGACACCGCTGCGGGAGCTTCTAGGAGACAGAGGACAGTGCGTGGAAGGCAGACCCGATGAAGTGCGAGGTGCTCAGCGAAGGAGAACAGTGCACCACTCACAGTGCAGCTGCCATCTGATGCGGAAAAAGCCTACTCTGCCTCAACAGGCAATTTCACATCAGCTATGCTGGGGGCTAAAAGGAGGGAACCAGAGTAAATAGCATTCTAACTTAAAATGCACCAAGCCTACACTTTAAGTAATACTGTGGGCTGGATAAACACCAATGACTGAGACAGTGGTCAAAATTGACATGTGCATTCAAGGAGTACAGATAATTTGGATCAATTACTTCATACAATAGCTACAGATTAAGCCCATCTCTAAATAATGGCAAACAGTGACTTTGGCCTAATTCTAAATGCTATTCCTCTAGGGCAGCGGTTCTCAAACCTGTGGGTTGCGAACAATGAAAATACATCCTGCATATCAGATATTTACATTACGATTCATAACAGTAGCAAAATTAGTTATGAAGTAGCCACGAAAATAATTTTATGGTTGGGGGTCACCACAACATGAGGAACTGTATTAAAGGGTCGCGGCATTAGGAAGGTTGAGAACCGCTGCTCTAGGGTCTATGGCAGTGGTTCTGCAGGTGTAGGGCTCCTCACAGAAGTCAGTCTGAGGCTGGCTGGAGTCTGATTTAGGGGCGAGGGGTGTGCATGGAGCAGCACCCTCGGCATCTGAGTGAAGTGAAGATCCAGGCCACCCACACTTTCAGAAACATCCACCCTGTCTCTCACTGTAAGATTCCGTCACACGGTGCTGTCCCTCGGAACTGGATATGGCAATGCTGCTGAAGGAAGGACTACAGAAATGACCTGGTGCAGTAACAGTCACCTTTTTGTCAACTTCACTGTCAGAATCGCTGCCAGAAGAGCTTGAAGAAACAAGTTCCTTTGATTTAGGCATTCTGAAAGAAAAACGTATTATGTAAGTAATTTACAGATTGCTCTATTACATTCATTTTAACTCTCCCCCAACCAAAAATTGAAGAAGTTCCATGGTTCATGCTACCATTTTGTGGTACTGGAGTTGTTATACTGAGGGAATGCTAGAAGTTATATTCTAATCTGTGCTCTTCCAAGCTGAAGATAACATGCAGAGTAAAGTGTCATACACATCGCACACTCTTACACCCTTTCTCAGAGCCAATGGGCATTTTTATTCTTCACTTTAGCAGGGCTAGATGTATGAGTAGGGTCCATTGCAAGCAGCAGCTGACAGCAACCAGGTAAAGCCAGGGAGAGTAAGTCCTCTCAGTAAGGCTTTCCACTTCTCATTGTTGAGACCAAACATAAAATTATTCACCACAGGAAATAACCACAACATTCACACAACATGGGGAATACTTGCACTATACCAGTGGTTCTCAATCTTGGCTGCACATTAGAATCACCTGGGAATCTTTTTAAAATTCTGATTTCTGGGCCTCATCCTCCGGAAATTCTGTTTCTTTGTGATGAGGTGGGGCCACAACATTAGTAACAAAAAAACAGAATTTCCGGAGGATGAGACCCAGAAATCAGGATTTTAAAGATTCCCGGGTGATTCTAATGTGCAGCCAAGGTTGAGAACCACAGCACTATACAGATGTTGATATACAATTAATTGCAATTATAATACTACTAAAGGCCCAGTGCACAAAATTCATGCACTCAGCCCGGCCTGCACCCTCTCGTGGTCCGGGAGCCCTAGGGGGATGTCCTACTGCCGTGGAGGCAGGAGAGGCTCCCGCAACCACCGCACGGCTGGCAAGCACCGCTTCTGGCTGCACAGCGCTCCCCCTGTGGGAGCACACTGACCACCAGGGGGCAGCTCCTGCGTTGAGCGTCTGCCCCCTGGTGCTCACTGCATGTCATAGCAACCAGTCATTCCGGTTGTTGGGTCCTAATGGTTGCTTAGGCTTTTATATAGATAGATTTTTCTTATTTTGTATGTTCTTAATTTTCTTTGGCTTTTTGACCATGCCAATAACAAGGACTAATTCAGAGCTCACAAAGTTATACATAATTCACAATTCGTTATATTTTAACACTGATTTTCTACTGTGGAATACACTAAAATTTGAAGACTCTGCTTTTGGCAGAGGCAAAACCTGTCCTCAAATTCCCATGGAGACCCTCGCTCCCCAGGTGCCTGAGCAACAAGGCAGAGCCCTGCGAATCTACATTTGCAGAGATTTGTTTAAAGCCTAGATCCCGAATTTCAAGGAATTCCAAGACCCGCTGAACGTATTTTCAAGGCACTTACGGGGGGGGGGGGGAAAAAAAGTTACCTTCAGCTCTCTCCATCTCCCCCTCTCAAGAGACTGAGCCAGAGTTTTCTATGCCCTAAAGGGCCCCACATGCACCACACACAGTCTTCACGTGTTTAAAAACCAAAGACTTCATTTCCTCCTTTAAAAAGTCAGAAATAACATAGCACTCTAGAGGGAACTTGCATTAGCAGTGGCCTTGACTGTGTCCACAACAGGAGGTCAAGGTAAAGGGGCCCCATCCTGGACATGAAGTTCCAAAGCCCCAAGGGGGGGGGCGGGCAGCAACCTGCACCACCAGGTCTCACCCGTTATTCCTGCTCCTGCTCCATGTCACAGCCCTATCTCCAAATCTGCCCCGTTGTGTATGCTAGCTGCTGATAATGCCAGGAAACATTTCAAAACTAAATTAAACAGCGCCCATGCTTCCCTCTGAAACGCCGCCATCTGCTGAAAGCGGCCTCGGGGCCTAGGCCCGTTTCCAAGACACCCACCCTCCTTTTCACCCGAGTGCGTCCATTAACAAGACAAGGTAATGGCACCTACGCCGGCCTCTCAGGACGGATGGAAATAGGTATTTATGTTCACCCCAGGAGGCTTTATTGTTCAAAAAATAAAAAGGCAGGCTCGTAGTTCAGGCAAATGATACTAACATCGCTAAACTACATACAAAACCAAAATAACAAACAAACAAAAAACACGAAATCGCTGGCGTGGAGGACTGGAGACGAGATCGGCCAGGACTAAGGGCACAGGAGCTCGATGCAGCCCGAGGGGGTCCTCCCCGGGACACGGGGCTGGAGGGGGCCG